TGATGACTAATGCTCAAACCTTTTTGAAATGAGAAGAGGTCTTTAGTCAGCGATTTGGTCTCTTATTGGCCGTTGATGACTACATATTGGTGGTTTGAGGTTAATAATTGAAAAGAGTTTTATCCCATCGTACCTACATACGTTTTTCTTAAAATAGAATAAAAGGGTACAAAAAATCTTTACCTATTTTTGAATTATAGTAGCTACCCACATTTTCCAGGTAACCGGTTTCACAAACCGACTTCTATTCAGTCTATCGATAAACGGCTTTGACTGAAAAAAGTGCCCGTAGACACTCTTAACTTTTTTCAAAACAAACACTCATGTATCTAAATAAAATCTTTCTAGGTTTACCAGATTCGTCGAATATTTAGCGAAAAGTCATTCATCCATGCTCACTATATTACTCGTATTTTAGTAAGGTGTTTCAAATGTGCTGAATGCTCAAAGCGGTGTTTAAAGGCATTGTGACACCCATCCAATCTTCTTCAGTATTTTGCAAGCAAAATGTTTTATGTCACGCACTGTTTGCTTACTAGGTCACTAGACATGTCAGTGATAATGACTTGAATGTTAGTACTGTTTCTAGCTCCTTGAGGTAGCCTCAGGGTTTAGTATATTTCGCAAACGTTGGTGTAATGGAGACGAGCGCGTTGCTGCGCGCGATTAACTTGTTTGATGTCACGCTAGCGTTGATTACCGATGCTGATAAGAAAGCTAACTAGTGTTACGATAGAGCACGTGGTTTTCGATTTGTACCCTGGACAGAGGCTAGTATTAATTACTTATGGCATTCGATTTCAATTTATTAGCTCATTACTTCGGCACAAAAAACTATATTCTTTTTAATATTACAAGAAGCAGTTATTTAGTTCATACGACCCGTCTCGACAATTTAGTTTCTTTAGATTCTAAAACAGCTATAGATAGATAAAGAGAGGGTTTCCCTATCAAAAAAGGACTGATCGGGAGATATGATTTTGATCCTTAAGATAATATTTGAGGCTAAAGAGTAATGTGTTTTTTTAAGGACAACACAAATAGAGGATAGTAAAATACACCTTTCGAAGGGTGTAAAAGGATTTCGTACATTTGAGTATGTATTGTTATACTGTTTGAATGATTCGTCCGTCTGGTAAATTTTAATCGTATACTAGTACACTACACAGTTACGTCAAAGATTTTGGAAAACTATTTCTTGTAAGTAAAGAAATATACTCCATATTTCTTTGAGCTCATCAACGACAACTTACAATCACCAACCAACGTAGTAGTCATTGTCATCTTAAAAACAAACAACCAGACATAGAAACACACTCGACATCGCTCCGATCACATCAACTACAACAGTAACAGAAGTAGGTACAAAAACAATGGCGCTTACAAACAATAAATGCTCCAAGCTCATGATTTACCGGATTTCTTAGTAATCTATTGAATTGACATCCACGTGTTACATAACGTTTTAACAATGGCGACCACGCACGACAATTTCTTTTTTTCCTGTGTAACGACAATGCGCACGCAATATGCGTATGAATACTTTCTCAGTCATCGAACTCCGTTTGTAGAGATTTTAGCATAATACGATATTAATTGCTGAATCACTGTTTTCATGATGACATGCAAATTTTTATATCAACTGAACATTTTTTTATGGCAAGCGTCAACTCTCACTGAAATGATTCGGTTGGTTGCAACGTGAATCGCATATTTCATTCGTCATATTTTTGTTTCTACATAGTTCACAAAGTTTTAAATACACTGTTTGTTTCACTAGAGTTCACTCCATTTATTAATTTAACTTATTAGCATTAAGGTCTAGTCTTTATTATCATCAGCGACTTTTTTCACTTATTTTTTTTTATTTTGTACAGGTATTAAGCTGGCATTTCGTCAAATTTATCAACGTTGTAAATTACAGATTCTGCTGCCCCCAAATATAATAATAATTTATCGAACTACAACATGTCGCTTAATATTTACAAAATGATCATGAATGCACATAACAGTCTACTAATTCAATCGTTGATAAATCTCCTATTAATGTACTTTGAACAAGTTACACGCTACAAATCGAACTATACAAAACCAGCTATTCATGGTCTCGCATTGTGAGATCTTCTCGCACATTATACAGTCATTTTATAATGGATACACAGCTTTATGTGTGTCTATTCCAGCTTCCATAAAAGCGATGTACATCGCAAAATGCTAATATTACTTTGGTAGATATTTGTTAAAATTGATTAAGCGTTAACCATTACATGTAACTAAATAACCAGACGAGTGCTCCTGTATTTTAACTTTCCCTTCGCAGCGGTAGCCGGTGTTTATTCGAGCATGTTCCAGTATGCACTTCGAAGACATTATGTACTTTGTGTAGGGCTTAAAGACAAGCTACTGTCGTAAATTCAGCTCAGTTACCTTGATTGAAATATTCACTGAACTGACTGCTTGGGTTTTAATGTTTTAACAGTTGATTAGGAATAAAGGTAAACCTCCTAATCTGTGATCTCCAACCTGTTTGTCAATGTTGGTGATTGCGTAAATATCTTAATATCAGTGAGTTGTCACGGGTTGATGATAGTGGGGCAGTAGATGTCTCAGCGAAAATTCTCATAACACATAACAATATTTTGCCAAATACCCACATAGCCATCAAAATGAACCTTAACTAAAAATAATTTATTATTACTCATGTAATTATTAGGAAGATGCAAGACTACTTCAACTAGTATCAAGACACAGAGGGGCTCGTGACCAACTTACACAGCGACCGATAGGTCAATTTATTTAATTAATTTACAATGTCTTACGAAATCAACGACTCGTTCAAGATTTTCTACATGATTATCATTTTAAGCAAATTACGTAAAAAATCTGTAAATGAATCATATCCCACTTTTACTAATAATATTAATGGAGGAAAATATTGTATTGCGAAAAAATTCTGTAATAGCTAATCAATAAGACGGGATTACTAATATAAATTTAAAATTCATGATAGTATTATGCAAGTGGTTAGGTTAAATTTGATTCATTCATTTGGTGGGTCAATGAAGTACATAAGAAAGTGGCAACATAGGTATAATATATGGCAACAATGACGCAAGACAATTTTTAATCAGTCAACACGGTTCTGATTCATCTTTGTATATTTTTCGACATCCCATAATGACTTTATCTTAATTATATTTCATCTAAAACACGACATTTTATAGCTAAACATTAGCAAATTGCATTTTTATGTTTCACAGTTTGAATAATTTAGTAAATTCGAATTGCGTTTTCTTACTTTTATATTTTTTCTATAAGTAATTCTATTTGATATTTTTCCTAGAAATCTAACAATAACAATAGGTGCTTTGCGGTTGTCAAAGGTTCATAACTTGATATAAAAAATGTTTAAAGGTTTTCCTGAATATTAGAAAGAGGGTTTAATTCACTTTTGGAATTTTACTTTGTGTGGCCTTTTACGCATGTATAGTGCCTGTGCACACTTTAATTTGATTAAATGGACCTATTTTTTCGTGGAACAGTAGTGAAATAGGGGACACAAAATACATTTTTCGCTGGTTGAAGTCGACGCACGACGTCAAGACTTTTAATCTCTGAGAGGCTAGGAAAAGTGCACAATATATATACAATGGAACTTCCCCTTTATTCTAGGCTTCATGCTAGTAGGTGCTATAAATAGTATAGTAAATATCCGGTACTTTGAACCACGCAGGTCGTTCAAAGTACCGGATATTTTGCTTGGCAGTAGCACTTGCGTCCGTTCGGGTAACGAGGCAGTCTATTATTGTAATATTCTTCGCGCTGCAAAATCCACGATTTAAAATATGTACACAGACTTAAAATATAGTGATAATCTGAACTTCGTATGAGAATTTCAAAATAATAAAAGGAAATAATTCGCAAGAGCAGACAAAGGCTTTGGTGCATAACTTAGCTGAAATGTAATTCTGATTGAACATAGCAGACTAACCCTAGCCAGGCATAGTTGGCAAGCTGGAGACTGAGCATACCTACTGCGGAAACTAAATCAAATCAAATCACTGTAATGCATCTATAGTGTATAGGGTTGTCTAAAATTTTAATAATGCTACCAAAATTGTTATACTTATTTTATCCCACGCAAAGTTGGACCAAAGCTACCCTTTGATTCGTACAGTTTCAAAGTTAATTTTCCGCAGTACTGTGGCACGTCAGGGTTACCGTGATATTCACTAAAAGTTTTTAATAAACGCTGTGCAATAGTCTACAATTCCTTTTTTCGATTCAGGGAACTAGAAATATGTTTTTCTATGTACATTGAACGATACGTTGAAGGCCAATATTGATGTTTTGGAAATTACTTTTTTGTGTACCTTGTTTACCTACCGTGTATCTACCTCTAGAACTATATATATATATGTTGTAGCTCCAATGCTATACCAGGGTTCTTTGTGTTTCCCTAAATAAATATTATAAGGTGTTTAATTCATCCGATTACAATAAACTCGTATTTATATCTGTTTCAAAGTTGGTGACAGCGCCTTAGGCGGATGGTTACAGCAGAATTAATTTTACAAGCAATTAAATATAAAATGATCAACTAAACTTTGTTCAATTTAGAACACAACTTGCAATGATGGCTGTCCATTCATATTAACGTTCTGTTACGTAAACATCGATGTTAACTTTTATGCGAGCGAACTTTGACATACCACAGATTTTATTAATTTTAAAGTACCATACCAGAAACTGTATTTGTATCCTATAATCTGACAATGATATGTATTAACACAGGTGAATGGTCACGTAGTTACCGGAAATTTGTAATTGATTAGTTCAATAATAATCGTAATTGATTAATGAGATGCAACGTGGAACATTTAAGCATACCTTTGACCTACTTAATTAGTGTAGGCAGCTAGGCGCCAACTTATTGAATAACAATAACATGTACTTGTTTAATGAAGCCTCAATTAATCAAAATACGCTACAATCCACAGATGGTATCACTCCTGTCAGTCATGGAACGGAAAAACTGGCGAGTGGCAAATTTGGGTGAACGCTGAACGCGTCGGCAGAGGATTCAACAACAGAGTAAGCCTCATTACCATAATATCAGCAAAGCAGAATATACCGCAGTTCACAAACATGTATAATGTACCTATATTAATCCAATCTATTCCAGCTCGTCGGTCACATCATAAAGGGAGGCGGTTTGGCAATTTCTGGCCAGGACCAGACACTGCTCTACAAAAAAGATAATATTGAACCAGTTGCAAGTAAGTGTCGAATATGATGCAAGTTTAAAATTACGTAACATAACACAACGTAACAATCCAATTGCAGGACAATCCGGTTTCATGGGTGAAATCACAATGCTCCAGTTGTACCACGTTGCTTTAACGGCTGGCAAGGCTCACAAGGACCACAAACATCACCACGTACATCACTTCAAGCACGACGGAACTCCTATTGAGTCTTCAACTGAGCCAGCGACTGAACCCCCACCACCACAAGCTACTCCCCTCGGAAATGGAAACTTCTTGATCGGTGGCCAGCTGCAAAGAGCACCTTCCTTGAACTTGGCGGGAGCTCAGCAAATGGTGCCTGTGCAGCTTCCCAACGGCCTTCAACTTCAGCAAGAGTATATCAACGGGCAACTGTCAAACAAGCTCGTCTCGGAACAGCTATTGAACAGCGTTCAGCCTGTGCCTAATCAATTGGGTGCTGGAGCTCCAATTCCTCTGTCATCTCTTGGTCAGCTTGGACAGAGTCAAGGCTTCCCTAGGTCACCCATTGGTCCATCTAAGGGTACGACTGTGGTATTATCTGGTTCTCTGTTGAACCCTGCCAATGTGAAATACATTGATGACACTGTCTCCCACAATTTGTTCAAGAGGAATTCCAAGCGAGACAAGAGAGACAACCCTGAGAAGGAATTGAAGGAAGAACGTGCTCCTGGTAAGTAAAATTTTTATCATTTATTATTTCAAATGCTATCCATTGTAGGTAATATTTTAGAGAAAGCAGTTAGAACTTAACATTAAAAAATGTGAAAAACATACCAAATAGATGTTGGTCCAAAAGCTAACACATATAAATCTTGAAACGATTGAAGTAAATGACAACATTAATGATATAATGAAACTGCAGATGGCAGTATAGAAGTCGTTTAGCAAAAGACTCGCGACAAAGACGCAATATGCAGAAAAACCGAAGGTGTCAATTTTCATTCGATATCTTGTAATTATGTAGCACAAGATGAAAAGAAAACTTTTGTTCTCTGTAAATCTGTACCTATTGTGTGGGACGTCAGTTCACTCTCAAATACTTTGAAATCAAAAATCAATAATGAGAACGATTAAAAAGATCGGATAAGGTCACAGGGCACTGCTAGATGCAGGTCGATTTAAATCGACGGATATTATTGAGAGAGGCCTATGATCAGCCAGGGACATCTTGTATCTAACTATGATGATGCTGATAAAAAACTAATAAAGACTCATTTTCTAAAACCCCATATTTTCTTAATAGGTATGTATCTTAACCTTTTAATATCAACACAACAAAGCTATGAAAATCACGTGGGTGTTTGTTTGCTGAAGACAAATACGTAACACGTAATGAACACGTCGGTTTGACGTGAAATATTTGTCGCTGCTACAACGCAACTCGATATCTAGCTCCAAGGATGAGTCACCCTCGCCACATCGCTGATATAACGTATTTTGTTATAATAGAACATCAGAACTTTGTGTAAAGTTTTAACTGGTAGTTAGAAGTTTTTAGAGTTAAGGTAATATATCGCCTTAAAATCCCCGAGGAGTTAGATAGGAATATACCTCTACAATGTTAAGACCCAATTATCAATAATTATGTCAAAAGTCCTATGACCGTATCAAGCATAATTTTTGCAAAACCGAAATATCTTCAATAATGCTTTGCTCATACCAGGAATCCAACGAGTGTATAATAGTTCGATTGTATATAACTAACATAATTTTAATACTAAGCCAAAGATTACGTAGGTACATAGTTTTAACTATAAAAACTATACTTTAATAGCTTAATATTAAATTGTTAAAAGGTTGTTGCCGCGAGTAATAGTAAGCGGGTTTAAAATTAACTGAATTTAATATTCTCATAAACGTATATAGTAATATATGAAACTGAAGAGTTTCTTTGTTTATTTAAACGCTCTTCAATACTGATCTGAATTGAATTTTTTTATGTTGATCAGTGCATGTATTGAGAAAGTCAGGAAGGTTATGAAACATCACGCTACAATTATGTTATGAGGTAATATTGTAAAGTTTACATACATACATACATCAAAAGCCTATAAACACCCACTGCTGAGCAAAGCCTCTTCTCACACGGAGAAGGGTTGTGCATTAATCAGCACGTTTGCTCAATGCGGGTTGGCGAATACAGACTTATAATTAGAAATTATAAGCCCTAGTTTCCTCACCGTTTGTCAGTGGTGTCTAGACAATCTTAGAAAGTACATATAACTCGGAAAAAGTCACATTGGTAGGTACTTGCCGTTGGTAGGTTTCGAACCTGCACTCTCATACATGAGAAGCGAGCGTCTTAAACCTCTGGGCCACCACGATGTACATTTCATTTTAAAGTATAATTGCTTGCTCGACAAATTAAATGTCAACTGGAATTTTAGTAAAACAGTTTTTTTTTTAATAAAATTAATATCCTTTTGCGAAAACAACACTCCGTTATAGAACCGAAAGAGTTCTTAATCTTCACGTAACATTACATCACGCTTTTTATTCCCGAAGGGGTAGACAGAGGTGCACATTACGGCACTTAATGCCTCTGTACAATGTAACACCCACTTTTCACTATTTATGTCTTGAGTCCCATCTAACAGGGTGTGAGCCTAATGCCATATACCGGACACAATTCCGGACTCCGTGCTACTACTGAGATTTTTTTAAAAACCCAGTAATACTTTGCCCGACTCGGGAATAGAACCCAAGACCCTTTGCCCGGCAGTCACACTTGCGACCACTCGGCCAACGAGGCAGTCTTAACCTTCCTTGATTATATTCGTTCGCTGAAATCTCAAACAAGTATGAATGAACAATTTACAAATCTAAAGACATCGTGTTCCGAGAGGTGTCAAAAACTAAATTCATATGTCTCACATAAGCTAAGAATAACTTAAACAGGCGGAAAGCTTTAATTACCTATTAACATTTATAAATAGATCCGAAAGCCTTCTCATTCATATTGCCTTTATATTTCAACACAAGACCGCAATATGAAGTATAATACTCGTGATTTCATTTTAAAATATCGTACATTATATTATTTTATCAGGTATCATACTATTGAAATAAATTTCAAGGTTTCTTATTACAGAACAATATGGATTCAGTGCAGCGAGTTTTCCAATATTTTCTCTTTCAATAAAATAGATATTCACATTTTGACTGTTCCTTGTATAATGAAATTGTTTATATGGGTTGATTGAATCAGGTCAAGGTTCTTGGCTTTGGGCAAACAGCCGTTGGGCTTTTTCAGTTTTAACAAATTTGCAGTAAGTACGTTAAGCATTGATTATGGAATTGTGTCCACAGGTAAACCTATTGTATGAACTCTAGAGGATGACGTCTCTTATGTGAAATTCTTACGATATGCGAAAAATTTATTGAATAATTCTTACAATATTTGACGCACGGTTGGCGCGGTGTCGCAGGTTCGATTCCCGCACGTCTCAACTCTATGTATGAACCACAGATTGTTGTTCCGGGCCTGGGTGTCATGTGTATGTGAACTTGTATTTTTTTAAACGCAGCCATGAAGTTGGAGAAAATCCTAGTGCGGAGGGGCATCGTTTTAAACATAAATTCTTTTATATACTAAACCCCATCTTTATTGAAGAAATTAATATACTAAAACAAAACCTTCTCCTAATTATATTAGAAGCTTGTCTAAAACAAGCATATATACATCCATATATGCATACTGTCAAACAGTGAACATCCTGTTTGTAAGCCGTTTAAAGAAGGTCTGATCACAATAATCTATTGAAAAGTAGGTCTTAGTTATTTCTACTTCTGTCTCCACCTTCGGGGATTAAAAGGCCGAACATTGTGTTATTATTACACATAAAATCACTAACTTATCCACTCGTATCTATTATTCAGTTAGGCATTAGTTCCATGAATTAGTGATGCGTTTATTTTTAACCTGAAAGCACTAGAATACTTATTAGCACCTAGTCTAGACTGGGTGCTAAATTTTAGATATTGAAAACTAACCCTTTGAATAGTTTTTATTTATGCTATGAGTACCATGTAAAAGAGGGGGGTTAAGTCACCAGGTATATTTGAAACTTCATATTGCGTATTCCTAAAAAAATGTAGCAGCTGAATCAGTCAATTAGTAAATATGTATGTATCCCATCTGTACCTCACGATAGCGATAAGTCTCATTTGTAACTATCAAGATAAGTGATAATACAAGTAGACTGATTCTGTTTTACAGTCATGCTTGCGATCTTTCGTTCAAAAATACTTTCTACAGCATATAATGTTGTTTCCATCCACAGTACCGATACACCTATGTCTACTTAGTCCCTTCAGGGCATAAGCAACGTGACGTTACCTGTATTATTATCATTATCAAGTTACCTATTATTTTCCTCCGAATACTGCCCACAAACTAACGAGGCATAGCCAAATATTTACAAATAAAGCCTTCGCTAGATATTCATTTCAACAAACACAATTCTAATGTTACCGAATGTTATCAAAATATCGAGCAAAAATAGACCTTAATACCTTAATAATGGCAATCTGGGCCTCCGGACATTTTTATTGTTGTCTGGGTAAGACAATGGTTGACTAATGCTGCTCAAGAGTATAAGACCCGAACGCAGCTTGAAACTAGTCGAGGTTCCTTATTATATTATTTTGTAATCAATCAGAAATCTGAAAGTATGAAATTTTACGTCAAAAAATTTACATGAAATATCAGAGATACAAAGCCTAATACAATGTACGAACATACATTGGGTATTTTTATACCCTAAGTATGTTCATAAAATAATTTTATTTATTTCTACTATTATTGTTATCCGGTTACACAAATAGACGCCCACCCACAAACAGTAAAATATATCAAAGAAAATTTTGGTTCCAGGAAAGAAAGACAAAAGAGGTTTAGTAGCATTGTCCGATGGGTCAATTGTTGACGAGGCTTTGTTGAGCACAGACCTGATTGATGACAACAAGGAGGATGAAGCCCTGTTCCAACAGTCCCTCCTGAATGGACTTGCCGGGTTCGTCGGAAACCTACCCGTGCAGAATTTGCAAAAAGAAACTGTAAGTATTATGTTGTTTTGTTTTGATTTAGCATACGTTAAATAGTGGTCGTTTTTATCGGAGGTTTACCTACATAATATAAATGATGACAAGGTATGATATAATAACAATACTATTAAAAATCGTCACAACATCATTAAAAATCTAATTAGTCCGTCAGTTAGGTAATGAAAAAATATTAGGCACGTATTTTTTTATTTTGTCGTATAAAAAATCAATACTTAGATAAAACGAATTAAAGTTTAGGAGTGGGGGGTAGCTACGTCATTTTAGAGTATAAATCATACTCAAAAGTGACGCCATGCGATATTTCAAATCAATATATCTTCGAAACTATTCGTTTCCGTAAGAAAATAAAAAATACGTGTCTAATGATATTAAATAATCTACTAGACGGACATTACAATAAAAAATAGTAATCTACCTTATTAATATTTAACCCAATCATATTTCAAAGACATAAATTCATATTTTATTTTGAATCTGTTTATTTAACAGAAGTGAGTAAGAAAGATAACGCTACGGTCAGACGCCAAGTATGAAATAAAAAAGCCAATACAATTCCAATCAAAGTTTCTTCTGTCTTGAAAAAAGTGGTTCATAACTTCATTCAGGTCAGAGCTGACCAATGAAGAAATGACCTTTCTTTGATCACTTTTTCTTTTACACTTTCAAATACATACTATCGTCTCTATGAACTATCTCTTGATCCGTAGACAATAAACTTGAATCTTATTGACAATGGCTTTCATTGGAATGTAATAAATGTTAGCCACTGACTTCAATATATTTTTAGATTCGCTTCGCCTCATCTTTCCTTCCATAGAAGAAGACGTATTACTTACACCCACGCCTCACTATATTAAATCATACGTAATATTTAATAGAGGAAGAGCCCGTGGTCGCTAGACCTTAGTTATTTTACAAAACATATTTATGTCTATAAAGCTGTTCAGTAGCCAGCAGGTCAATCTACCCTTTTCTGTTAAATTTATTTATTAGATTTTGACGCTATTGTTTAGATATTAAGTCAAAACTGCAATGACAAAATTTAACATATTGTAGTCTATTGTACGTGAGCGCAAGGTATACATTATATTTAAGAGGATGCAAACGAGCCATATACATCTGTATAATGTCTAGATAAGAAAGAAAACAGTTTAATGGCACTGTAATAAGTAAAGCTCGAGTTACAGAGCTGGTTATTAGCAGTAAACAGCCTGATGATTAAAACAACTACATAATTGTAATTTTATACCGCAGCAATGCTGTTTCAATGTCTATAGTTACATTTAATAACAAATTATAAATTCTGCGTCTGCACTATTAATGAAAAAGGTATCATTATAATTATATCAATGTTTAGCGATGTCTGGCAAAATAATATGGGATGAGTTTATGTAGAAATCAACTTTTAAGTTTTAAAATAAGAAAATTCTGGCGGTTGCAAGCTCTTAGACTTGACAGAAACCTAGGCACCGAGCTCAGCTAAATTATAAAGTGTAGTAGTGGTTCTTAGTGGTTACAATTTCTATATAACTGACTCCATATCACAAAACACGATATTGAATTCATACGTTACGCTTCTTATATATTAAAATGTCGAAACAATGCAAACATTATATGGAATAAAACGATATTGGACCCTTCCGATGTTGATTAATACGAGCCATATTAATCAAAAAAGTTGATGTTTCATTAACTGTGTATGATTTATCAGTGTAAATGTGTACACTAATAATTTAAAAGAGGAAAAATCAATTTTTATTGTTTGATCACTTGAATTGTATAGGCTCCGAAACTACTGGACCGATTTGAATTTTATCCCTACATTATCTCTGATGAACGTAAGCTATGTATAATAAATGAAAAAGCAAGAGAACGGTTTGAGAAATTCGATAATTTAAGCCGATGTTTGAAAAAACTACCAAAATATTCCTTGTATCGTTTAAGCTGAGGAAATTACAAAAGACTACTAGAGTACATTGAAATCAACGTAAAAGTTCGCAATGTATTGGAAAACAAAACTACTTTTTAATCTACAAATGAGCAATAATAATATCCCGCCAGTACAAACCAGACCACATTATTAGTTCGAGAGAATTTTCTGAATGGTTGGTTCAGTTCAAACACTCACTACTTTTATTCAAAAAATAAAAATGATTATGTCATCATTAAAAAATCAATGTATACGCGTGCAAACCCGGGGCGCCAGTTTATTAACAAAGCAAATACTTGAATACTAAAGTATCGAACGCACGAAGATTATCAGGAAGATGCGCTGGAGTTTTTACACATTTAAATTTTATTTGCAGGTCGATGAGAGAGAACCTGCTGAAGCTGAGGTAAAGGCAGTGATGCAGGTCTGCAGCGGTTGTGCCCCTGAGCCCTTCAAGAAGGCCCTCGTCATTTCCTGGAGGTCGACCCCGAAGAAACTCTACAGCGGCGCCCATTACTACAAAGGTTTACCCATCTGCCGAGCCTTCTAGCTTAATCTCGATTATACTATTATGTACAAAGTATAGCCCTTATTAACCTTCTGTAAGTAATCCTGCGTACGCAACAGTAAATTGACAGATTCTAATAGAATTGTACATACATTTATTTTAAGCAAGTTATATTAATATGAGTCCACTGAATCCATAGTTTAGTAGCAGAGGCAAACTCATGCCGTTCTAGAATAAGCAATGATTTTCGAAGGACTTTACCTGTACGTTAAACGCCATTTATTTTAAGTGTTAAATCTATAATAATATTTTTAGTTTTATATAAAAATCAACAATTTTATTGATTGAGGCTGCCAGGCGTTTGTCTGGGACGTATAAATTAGTCATTGGGTTGAAACACGTTGTGTGGATATTATTTATTGTAGTTTTAAGAGTGCATTCAATCGTTACAAGAGGTTTTATCCTTAGATTTTAAGCTCACCTTACCGATTTGTTACCATTTTTTAAAATAAATCTTTAAAGTACTATTTTCTGTGTCTTTTTCCGAAAGTCAAATTATAATATGTACCTAATTCTTCATTAAAGTAAATTTTTAAGGCTCGCCCTAACCGCCACTGTAGATGTTTCTTGAAGGTTCTAAAGTCACTTACCTGCGCTCTTGAGAATGAAGACTGCTGATACTCCAACTTACCTTAGTCTTATGCACATGCTGGTGGTGGTACTCGGAATCAATCTCAGGCTCGCTGAAGTAGCTCTGGTCCTAGGAAGGAAAAACGTTATGAGAAAGAGTGTTGAGCCATTCAGCAGCAATTAGGTTGCTAATCACTATATGAAAACTGTAAAAATTTCTTTTTTGTATGTCAAGTAGCTGAACGATGAGGGTAAAAATAAAATTCAAGTGCACAACCACAAATAAAAACGATTAATGTGCAAAATGATGTAGCATTACACTTTTCACTAGTTTTTTTATTTATTTCAGAGTGAATCAACACCTATGTTGTTAGTCCCATAAAAATAAACACTTTGATTATAGAAGTACTTACTTGATCCCAGCTTGAAGGGCCTGAGCAGGGTGGGGCGGCGTTCGGAGGCATGGTGAGGGAGCCAACGCCAACAGCACCAGGGAATGCTCCACCGCCAATATCCGTCGCCTCGAAGAGACGCAAAACAGAACGATCACGAATGTCCCGTAGGTGGGCCCTGTAGGATAAAGAATCATAATGGAGATACCTATTTATGTATAGTTGATTTTGCTGAAATAATGTTAATAATCAAGTCGAAGGAGTTTCATGCTGTGATCGAAATCGTTCGAGATTGATTGAGTCTGAACACTGGCTGATGGAATAAGCATCGTAATTGTTGCCTACATACGAAAATAGTATGTTTTTCGATGTTGATATAAAAAGATGTTAGTACTGATGGTTTGGAAACTAAGTTATCGATTAAAATAAATTTAGTAGTTTAATTATATTTGTAGATTCATTTAGGGAAACAATATAGTCCAATTTCACATGTTTTTTTGAAAAATAAGTGTCTACATACTCAAATGTCTACTCTTTTTTGTATGTCTATGATAAGAAACTAATCGTCTACAATCATCTAGGAGTTAAACCGTAAGTACTTCAATATCGCCTAAAATAACATTTTTCTACTACCCTTCAAGGTCTCCAAGGTTACTTAAGGTACTTACAGGCTTCTCTAGAAATCTTAATCTGATGAACGAACGCCGGAAAAATCAAAGGCTTTTTACTTTTACTAAAAGCATTTTTGATTAAAAAGATTGAAAGATAACTGAAAATTTTGACTTACGGAACGGTTGTGTACTTAGAAGCCAGCAGTTTCGCGTCATGACATTTTCAAGAGGAATATTAAATTATACTCCTGTATAAAAATATGAGATTCAAATGTCTGCCAGTAACATTAAGCTAAGTGAGTTAAGCTTTTTATTGACCCCAAGGAAAATTCTTTGAGAGTTTTAACAATCGTCCAAAAAGACGGGGATTGTCCAAATCTTGTTGTCTAAAGACCAATTCGGTGTCACATCACATCTCTCGCGGTAACACGATGGGGTTGCGGAAAGCACATTATCCCGCAGTGTAGCTCTCGTGACAATTCGCCTGGCAAGACCCTCCGTGAGGTGTACGAGGAAGTGAAATGTCAAGTAAGTATGTGTGTTTTTTATGAAATAGAAGGCAAACGAGCAGACGTATCACCCGATGGCAAACGATCAGCGCCAGCCATGGGCCCAGCGTTGCCGGCCATTTATAAAAGACGCTCTATTCTTGAAGGTTTAAAGGTAGTATCGGTTAGGAAATACCGCCGACGACAGATCATTCCACAGTTTTGCAACTATATTCTAAAATTGCAGACTTTTATTAGTCGTGGGAAAATATCACAAGAATGGTCATGTATATTCGTTTTATAGCCTTATAAAGAACTATGTCGTGTGACGAAGTCTAAACTGTAAAAGGAGTAGGTCCGTAAAAAGACCCGATGTCCCTTATAGGCGATGATGGTAGCCACCAGACTGGTTTTAGGGAGGTAAGAATACTATACTCCTTAGTCTATCTCCTCAAAAAATTATGTGCCTGTTGCCTGGCTTCCTTCCCCCTCAATAAAAAAGGTTTATCAAAACTAAAACACATTTTCTATAAGTCCAAATAAACAAACATTTGGTAACACGTACAGTTGAAAGCTTATTGTTATTGTTATTGTTATAATCTTGATCCTAATCCAAGGACAAGGTAAAACTTTCATATAAGTACTTGTTACTTAGGCCGTCACCTGTTGCTTCGAGTGTCTTGTCTACTTTGAGCCATTCCTAAATTTCTTTGTCATTTTATTGCTTAATTTTATTTTTTAGACCCTGTCATAGGTGCTTTTGTTAGAAGACTTACCTATGACTGATATTATTATTTAATGGTCGAAATTAACAATCGATTTTAATATAAAACGCTGAGTTTTTGACAAAAACTGTAATCTACAGATTGCACGGTTGGTGCGGTGGCTGGGCAACCGGCTGCCGTGCAACGTGTAGCGGGTTCGATTCCCGCACGGGACAACACTTTGTGTCATCCACAAATTGTAGTTTCGGGTCTGGGTGTCTTTGTGTATATGTGAACTTGTATGTTTGTAAACGCACCCACGACATAGGAGAAAATCATAGGGTGGGGCAACGTGATCAAAAAAAAAAAAAAGATGTTTAATTGAGATCGGGCCGAAACATATATACAATTCTTCGACCTAAAATAAATTGATGCGATATTCAGAAAAGTGTTTGGTAAACTTAAGACAAGGTTTGAGCATATTAATAAACCGTACTCAAACAAAGATGTATTTGAAGTGGTTTTTTTTATCCTAAATTTATGAAAAAATTCCATCAACAGCTTATAAATGCCCACTGCTGAGCAAAGCCTCTTCTCACACGGAGAAGGTTAGAGCGTTAATCACCACGCTTGCTCAATGCGGGTTGGCGATTTCAAACTTATAATTAGAAATTATAAGTCCAGGTTTCCTCACGATGTTTTTCCTTCACCGTTTGTCAGTGGTGTCTAAATAATCTTAGAAAGTACATATAACTCGGAAAAAGTCACATTGGTACTTGCCGTTGGTAGGTTTCGAACTTGCACCCTCATGCATGAGAAGTGGGCGTCTTAAACCTCCGGGCCACCACGACATTTTTCATGAAAAAATTACATATTATTAATTATTACTGGTTATAGATAGGCGTTTGGCCACTATCTCGCCTTCTGGTAAACGACAGCGACTTTGATGCCTACGATGGAGCACGCCTACCCATAAGGACCTATTCAGTCGAGACTTGAAGACACCCACCCTTCAGGAAACATAGTTTACTCGTCATTTATGCTAGTGCAAATAAGGTTACGTTGTGAGCCCGTCTTTGGTAATCCAAAAAACATTATAGTTTTGGAACGAGCGCCTAGCTTCACTGACGGACTGACTGACAGACTATTATTATTTATTTCATATTTGTTGACGTTTCAAAAGTACCAAATTATGGTATACCTAATTGAAATAAATGCTTTTGAGTTTGAGTCATAAAAAAAATAATTTATGCCAACTCCTAAAACTAATTGAGAAAGAAAAATAAATATTTATTACAAATACTATGTAGGTAATTAATTTTATTTATTAGTTCATATAAAATGATCATTTTATATCTTTTTTCTTTTAAAATAAAAATAAGCGTAATATTTTTCATTCTATAACTGACGGAGTATTAATAATGTGATGTTTAATTTAATAAATTGTTATTACTACTACGCACAAAATTTAAAATTATTGTTTTTTTATAATATTCTTTTTATATTCTATTTTCTTGTTGTGTCTAGTATTCGTCAGAACTAGGACACAAATAGTTATATTAGTGTCTGTTTTCAAGAAATACAATTAATTTAAATTACTTAAAAAAACTATTTTAATTTTTTTCTACCCGCAACGATAAAAATATTTAAAAAGTTTCAACTAATTAAATTGTATATGAACATTTTGAACAATAATTAATTATTCACCTAAATAACTTTCATTTAAATTAATATACACTGTATTTTTTTAATAATTATAACTTATTAATCCCGTATTTATTTAGCATAAAAATATGTACCCACAAAACGCTTCTAAAATCCAAGATTTGTGAAATTATACACAATACAATTTGAAAACAGGCCAATATTAATTTATTTAGAGCCACAAATCAGTTTTTCTCAAAAACGACACAAGCTAGAAATATTTATAGCACCAAAAATAGACCCGAACACTTTATAGAAACTAAACAATAAATTATGCACTCATTCACTGATTTATTTTATTTTAATTATAATCATCGCCATAAATTATTACATCTACAACTAAAACAAATAAAATAAAACTCTATGTACCTGACCTACATTTAAAATATTCTTCATTATTCTTATATTCTTATTTACAAAAAAATCTGGAGACTAAAATTTAAAATAAACACAAATCAAATCAACACAAACATAAAATATACCTAATTTATTTATTTTTAGTATGGATTTATAATTATTATTTTTAACAAAATTAAATTTAACAAAATAAACAATAAATATAATTACACTTTTTAACAATAAAAAATAATAAATGAATCATTATTTATTGTACTTACGGGCAACGATAATCGTGGACATGAGTGAAACTTCGACTTGGTTTCATTTTGAAGCCCGATCACGAACTTTTTTCAAGCGACCGCGATATGGTATGGATGGTCCAAAGTCGTGAGACAAACTGAGTGCTAACCTCCCTTCGATAGGGGTGCGCTCCCCGCGCCAACTGCCCGCTACTCGTTCCCGCCAAAACGCTTCGCAACTCGCCTAGCTAGCGCAGCTCTACCCTTATAATAGGTACATTTTAATTTTAAGATATCTTTTATAATATTTAAATGACGTTTATTTTTTTAACTTGTTTTAATAAATAGATAAATATTGCGTATCTGTTTATTTGGATTTATATATTTAAGATTTTACGTCGTTGTTTTATTTTACTTTACTATTTTAGGATTTTTCTGTCATAAGTATAAAAACAATTAACTACAATAAAGTACAACTTGTCCCGACGCGCGAAGTACTGAGCGGTATGAATAATACCTTTTCATGTCTTTAAGTAATGAAAAATGTTCTGAATGAACAATAAATGCGTCAGTTAAAATCAGACAAATAGCAGCATTTGTATCCAATTTGGTGTTTATCACTGCAAAATACGAATTCTGTAAGACACGTGTAAAATGCGTACTCTCATACAAATGCGCCATGCATCTGTAATGATTTAAAAAGGGGTGAGACGGAACCCTGTCACTAAGACTCCACTGTCTGTTCTTCTGTCAATAAACTGTTTTTGCTGTTGGCGCCCGTTCCTGCGCGAGTCTGATTCGCACTTGGCCTACTTTTTAACCAACTTCATTTAGACATCATTTTATTGAAATGAGATTTTCGTAGTTTTTAACCTAACCCCTTATCAGGGTTAGTACTGTAGAAGTGCTGACAATGCTAAGGTCAAGAGTCGACCTCTAAGATAATTTTAATATATTTTTGGCCTTAAATTTTTTGGAATAAAATCGAAAATCAATTACGGGTATTCGGGATTTTAGCGACTGATTGTTGTCTGCCGCCCCTGGATTAGACACTTAATCATCTGAAACCAGATTTATTTACGTTGATGCATCG